TTAGGAGGTGACCACTGCTTGCATTTTTCACTTAGTTTTAATTTTAGTATCATTTCGTTTTGCTCATGGGTGTGTGTACATGTGGTGCGTGTACGTGTGGTGTGTGTACATGTGGAAGCCAGAGGCGGTATCGTGTGTCGTGGGATCTCTCACTGAACCTGGATATCATCCATTCAGCTGGCTTGTGAGCTCCAGGATTCTGCCTGTTCACCCTTCACCCCTCCCTGCCTCATAGCACCATGGGGGGGGGCCCGCCGGTGGTGGCGGCGGCGGCGGGGGTAGGGGAGAGGGCAGACGTTACTACTAAACCTGCTTTGAAAGGGCTTCCAGGATGGAGCTTGGGCCTTCACACTTGCACAGCGAGCGTTTTACCAGCTGAATCACCCCCAGCCCCTTGTTCTTAGTGTTTAGAATGAGGTGAAATGACAAAAAAACTTTCTCTGTAGCTCTAGAATCCACCCAGCCGGTCACGATAAGCACCGAGCCACTCCCTCGGCCCAAATTGATTACTGTAAAGAATTCTATTCCAGGGCTAGGGCATGGCTCAGCAACACAGCATCTATCTGCCTGGCGTGTATGGAGCCTGAGTTGGATCCTCACTACCACTGAAGCCAGATCCGGTAGAGGCAGGGAGCCAGCTCAGCAGATAAGGGTGTTTGCTGCCAAGCCTGAAACTGAGTTTGACCCATTGGTTCCTGGAAGCTGTTCTCTTATCCCTGAATGTGCACAAACACTCAATAAATGAATGATGATGATTATGAAAGGGTGTGGTGGTGCATGCCTAGGTGGAGGCATGATCAGGAGTTCAAGATCAGCCTCAGCCATATAGTGAATTTGAGGGACATATGAGACCCTGAATATTAATATATGCGCACATGTTCATGCATATATGCCGGCAGGTAAGGGCTCTCACTGTTAAGCCTGAAGACTTGATTTTCATCCCAAGACCCACATGGTGGGAGGGAGAACTGAGTGCCAAGTCTTGAAAGGTGTCCTCTGACCTTACATTCATGTCACAGGACTAGCACAAGAACAGAAACTAAAAATGTGATGATTAAAAAAATACTATTAAACTATAATCCAATAAAAAAAAAAGCCAGCCATTCACAAACCCACGTCTGTGGACTGTGGTAAGGCTCAATGTCTCTTTCCAAATGTGTCTGCGGCCCTGGGTTCCTCTCCAGGACTTCAAAACATTAAAGATCTAATCATGGACAACAAAGAAATGACGAAAAGGGGAACGGTGTCAGCCATCCGCGATGGAAGGGAAGCCTGGGAGCCAGCAGGATCCAGTAGGAAGAGGACATCTGCGTGTGTGCTCATCCAGTCTCCAGTCTGAGGAAGAGAAGAGTGGGCAGCCTATTTATACCCATCTTTAAATAGTGCCTGTCAGAACTGAGGGCACTGCTCGGTGGGTAAGAGTGCTTGCTGCAAAAGCGTAAGGACCTGAGTTCAAATCCCCAGAACCCACATTAAAAAGCTGGATGTGGCCCCATGGGTCTGTATCTCCACTGCTGTTGAGGTTGGAGACAGACCACTAGGGCGTGCTGGCCGCCAGTCAAGCTCAGGTTTGGTGAGAGACCCTGCCTCAAGAGAACACGGTGGAGAGTTATAGCTTAGGATGTCTCCTGTCCTCTGATCTCTGTGCACACCTGTGCTACCCTACCCCACACCACACATGCACACATTGCACCTATGCCATACCCACCCACAGCGCGCGCGCACACACACCACCTGTGCCAAACCATCCCCTCAGCACACACACACACACACACACACACACACACCACACACACACACACACCACACATTTTTAAATGACTATATTTGTTCTCATGGGTTTTTTCTTTCCAGATAGCCTTGAGGTGCTGGCTAGTAGATGTAATCGTTAAATGTTTTCAGCAATTTGACAGGTCAGGAGCTAAGAAGCATACTGAGCATACTGACTGTTCTTCTAGAGACTAGGGTTTGGTTTCCAGCACCCACATGATGGTTAAAAACTGTCTGCAACTGCCGGGTGGTGGCGGCACATGCCTTTAATCCCAGCACTTGGGAGGCAGAGGCAGGCGGATCTCTGTGAGTTCGAGGCCAGCCTGGGCTACAGAGTGAGTTCCAGGACAGCCAGGGCTACACAGAGAAAAACCCTGTCTCTGAAAAAAAAAAAAAAAAAAGAAGGAAAGAAAGAAAAAAAGAAAAAGAAAAAGAAAAACCAAAACCAAAACAAACAAACAAATAAACAAAAACCCCAAATGTCTGCAGCTACCATTTCAGAGGATCTGACACCCTTTCTGGCTCCAAGGGCTGTGCATGCACGTGATACACAGGCACACATGCACAGACACCCACATAAAATGAAATGAAATGATGGGGCTAGAGAAATAGTTCAGTGGTTAAGAGCAGTTGTTGCTCTTCCAGAAGACCTGGGTTAAGTTCCCAGCTCACAGCCTTTTGTAACTCCAGTTCTGACTTCTTCAGAAGGGTGGGACACAGACAGACATACAGCCAAAACACTCATACACATAAAATAAAATAAATCTAAAAGAAATTTTAAGTTTTTTGTTTTTTTTTAAATTTTGAGACAGGGTTTCTCTGTGTAGCCCTGACTGTCCTGGATCTCACTCTGTAGACCAGGCTGGCCTTGAACTCACAGAGATCAGCCTGCCTGTTTCCTGAGTGCTGGGATTAAAAGCATGTGCCGCCACCACCACCAGGCAGTAAAAATAAACATTTTTTAATTTGAATTTGAGGACATCGAGTTGACATCTCACTGACAGCTTGAAATCAACCAGAAATTGACAAACACCGCAAAGCAGAGCCATTTCCCCAGCTGGACCCCAGAGCAAGCACTGTGGCGGAGTTCTGTGGAGGCTGAGGCAGGCGGAGGGCAAAGTCAAGGCAGCTTAGACTAAGTGCAAGGGCGACCTGGCAGCTGAGTGAGACCGTCACACAGCAAAGCAGTGCTGCCAGGGAGGGCTAGCTCGCTGTCTGGGTGGGTAAAGGTGCTTGCCACCAAGCCTGAAAACTGCGCACAGCGCGCGGGTGTGTGTGTGTGTGTGTGTGTGTGTGTGTGTGTGTGTGTGTCCCTTCCTCCCTTCTTTCCATCCCTTTCCTTCTCTTCCTCCTCTTCCTCTCACTCTTTTTCCCTCCTCTTCTTCCTCGAGTCTCTGTCACCCTCTTCCATCTCTCCCTTTTGCCGCCAAAGGAAAAAAAAAAATAAGAAAAAAACCATATCACTAATCACTTCTCTGCAGGGGCAGAAGTGGGAGAGGGTTCACCACAGGTTCAAGACTGTTGGCTTCTTTTAAATTATTTTATTTTAAAACGATTTTTATATGTGCACGGGTGTCTGTGCACCACACGCATGCCCGGTGCCTGCACAGGCCAGAAGAGGGCATCAGATTCTCTGGAACTGGAGTTACTGATGGTTGTGAGTTGCCATGTGGGTGCTGGGAATTGAACCCGATCCTCTGGAAGAGCAGCCTGTGCTTCTCTGAGTCACCTCTCCAGCCCTAAGGCCATTCTTGTGTGTGCAGCAAATTCTAGGCAATCCAGAACTACAGAACAAGACCCCCATCTCACAATAATAGTAAATTGGGGCTGAGAGGCAGCCCAGTGGCTAAAAGCATTTTCTTCCTGTGCAGAGGACCCAAGTTCTGTTCTCAGCAGTCACATCAGCAGCACACCCTCTGGCTCAGCTCTAGGGGTTTTGACGCCCGCTTCTGGCCTGTAAATGTAGCACATGCACAGTGACATAAGTAAAAATATACACATAATTCTAAAATAATTTTTTAAAATTGAGCTTTTTAAGACAGGGTCTTACAATATAGCTCTGGCTGTCCTGGAACTCACTCTGTAAACCAGAATGGCCTCAGACTCACAGAGATCTGCCTGCCTTTGCCTCCTGGGTGATGGGGATTAAGGCTGTGAGCCATCATGCCTGGCAATAATAACAATAATAATAATAATAATAATAATAATAATAATAATAATAATAATTTTAAATCAAAGTGACACCTGTCACCTTAGCACTCAGGAGTCGGAGGCCAATCTGGGATATGCAGTCACTGGCTAATCCAGTACTGGGTAGGAATTCTGTCTTTATTGTTTTTTTTTTTTTCAGCAATGAGGATTGAACTCAGGACAAGTGCTCTACCACTCTATTAAAAAAAATCTATTTATTTGTTATTTGATGTGTGTGTGCCCGAATGAGTTTATGTGTAACATATGAATGCAGATGCCTCTGGAGGCCAGAAGAGGGCATCAGATGCCCTGGAACTGGAGTTCCGGGTGATCGTGAGCCCCCCAGGGTGGGTGCTGAGAACCAAATGCCTGTCTGCTCCCTGAAGAGCAGCAAGCATTGTGGCATCCCTCAGCCTCCCAGCCTGTCTATTTTTTTCAGACAGCGTCTCATTATGTTGCACAGGTTGGTCTCACACTTCTACATTCCCACAATCCTCCTGCCTCAGCCTCATGAGTACAGGGAGCAGAGCTGGCCCCCAGGATCCAGGGGAAAAGTCAAGGGTCACAGCTGTCCTGCAGGACAGTGACCTTGCTTTAAGGTGTGCTTTTTATTGTTGTTTATGTTTGTATATGTGCACGTATGTAGAGCGTGTACATGCAGGTCCCACAGGAAGCCAGAGAGGGATGTCAAATCCCTGTAACTGGAGTTATTGGCAACTGCGAGCTTCCTGCTTTGGGTGTGGGAAACCAAACTCAGGCCATCTGGAAGAGCAAGACACCTCTTATCTACTGTGCCATCCATCCAGCTCCAGTGAGATCTTGATGCCAGAGTTTGAGGCTAGCCAGGCTAGGAGATTCTGTCTATAGATAGGTAGGGAGGGAGGGAGGGAGGGAATAAGGAAGGAAGAAAGGGAGGGAGGGAGAGAGGGAGGGAGGAAGGGAGGAAGGAAGGAAGGAAGGAAGGAAGGAAGGAAGGAAGGAAGGAAGGAAGGGGAGGGAGGGAGGGAGGGAGGAAGGGAGGAGGTGGCTTACTCCTATGGTCCCAGCATTTAATAGACGGAGCACGAGAATTTCTCGATGAGGAGGATGACAGAGAGCTGAGCCGTGTCACCCTGTCTGCACGAAAGGTTATCTCTTTGCAAGGAGATGGTAAAGGTCAGGTTGCCAACTACCTCCCCTCTGCTAGGAAGATAACTCAGGTCAGCGGGCGAGGCTGAGAGCCAGCCTGTATAAATGGGGGCACAGAGGTGGTGCAGAGGGAGCCACCTCGGTCGCAGGCATCTCAGTTGAGCATGGCAACGCTCGGGCTGCTGCTGCTGGCTTCCTGGGCTCTCACTGGGACTCTGCAGCTGCAGGCTGAGGCCAGGCCAGCGCCCTACGGAGTGAAGCTGTGTGGCCGCGAGTTCATCCGAGCGGTCATCTTCACCTGTGGGGGCTCACGATGGCGCCGGGCAGACATCTTGGCCCACGACTCTCTGGGTGAGTGTGTGTGTGTGGGGAGGGGGCAATCAACCTGGAACAGGTGGCCAGGTGGGCACAGAGCCATGTATGAGCCAGGCCTGGTGCACACTGAACTTCCAAACACTTCAGAGGTGGTGGCAGAAGTTTCCTGCATTTAAGAGCAGCCTGGGCTCCAAGGTAAGACCCAGTTTTAAAAATTCAAAGGAAAGCCGGGCAGTGGTGGCGCACGCCTTTAATCCCAGCACTCGGGAGGCAGAGCCAGGCGGATCTCTGTGAGTTCGAGGCCAGCCTGGGCTACCAAGTGAGTCCCAGGAAAGGCGCAAAGCTACACAGAGAAACCCTGTCTCGAAAAACCAAAAAAAACAAAAACAAAAAAATTCAAAGGAAAAAAAGGGAGGTGTGGAAGAATAGAGTTCCTGTCTACCTATATGCAGTGGGAACACCTCTGCCTGGCCCTTTAGCTTCCCCAAGACCAGGGTGGTACAATTATAAGGTTGAGACAGCTGGAAGCCAGCCATTCTGGGTTTACCAACAGGAGAGGGGAAGTGAATCACCAAGCCACCCTTTCCCAAGTCCCGGCTGTGTGCGGCGTGGCTCCAAGCACGGAGCAGACATGCCACGATCCGGAGGTGCCTGACAGGTGAGGGCGCAGCAGGGTTTTTAGCCTAGTCAGCAGAGGGGCTGGAGGGCTTGATTTTGCTGCCTTCTGTACTCTCTGGCCCCTGTTCCCCCTTGCAGAGACTATTCACAGTGGGTGAGACCTGGCGGAACTCTTTACAGGGTAGATGTTTAGTGTGGTTGGAGTAGGAGAGGCCAGGAGAGTGCAGCTCCTTAGAGGCAAGGGAAATGATGAAGGCTCACACTAGAATCCCACACTCTGGGAAGCTAAGGCAGGATGGTCATGAGTTCTAGGGCAGCCTGAGACCCTGTTCTCAAAAAACAAAAATGGAGGAAGATGATGGTGGTGATGGAGTGATGTATGGGTGAATGACGAACATATAGATGGATGATGGATGTGTGTGCAGACAGGAGTGTGCCTGGGTTAAAACAGTAGGTCTGGGGCCGAATGGCTGTGTCCTTACGCAAGCTCATTGAGGAGCCACCGTCTCATTTGGATAGTAGGTGGCAATCACAGCTCAGTGGCTGTCACTGAGTGGACCGAACAAGTTAATGTGGTAAACGATCAAGGCAGTCAATAAATGATCAATGTTCATTTGAGGCCCAGCGTGTATCCAATATTATTGTGCTTTTACTGGCGTTAAGTCTCCCACTCGTGATAAAACCAAAGAGAGTAGGAGCTATTATCCCCTCCCCACACACACACACTTCGTGGAAAAGAAAAGAAAACTGAGCCACAGAAAAGTAATCTCATTTATGATTCTAATTTAGGGAGCCTAGCTTCCAAATGCATACGTTCATCTACATGAAATCCGTGACAGGAAAGTCAGGTTTAGTATTGAAACTGGTAACAGAGCCCAAGACTTCAAGAAATAAAATTCTAAACAGCCACCTTGATCCTCAAGACCAGAGATATAACCCGGTCAGACAGGAGCTGACATTCTGAGGTGGCAGCTCTGAGTCCTAACGCTTCCTCCGCTTTGCAGGGGACTTCTTCCCGGATGCAGAAGGCAACACGGACCACTTGGCCAGCGAACTGGACGAAGCTGTGGGCTCCAGCGAGTGGCTAGCCCTGACCAAATCCCCCCAGGCCTTCTATGGTAGTCGACCCAGCTGGCAAGGGTCGCCTGGAGCGGTTAGGGGCAGCAGAGATGTCCTGGCTGGCCTTTCCAGCAGCTGCTGCGAGTGGGGCTGTAGCAAGAGCCAAATTAGCAGCTTGTGCTAGGATCCTGATGGGGAAGCGTGCGTGCGGTGCCTCCAACCTGCGATGCTCACGAGCATTCCCACAGGCAAAGCATTCATTGAAGCCTCCGCGGTCTCCTTACAGACCCTCTGCCAAGACGCTGTGTGCCAGCCTATTCCCACCTTGCTCCGGGCCACACTCCGACCTAGCCAAACAGAAACTTGATCTTCGTGGCTGAGTTCTTCCCCTCCCCAACCCCAGCCCCAGAGAGCCTGGCTGCAGCCAAGTGCCCACCTATCCAAACTGACCACCCTGAGCACCCGCGCCCTGTGCGGACCTAATTGCCGCGCTGTTTCCCGGCCAGGCCAGTGTAACCTGCCCCCTGCTCCTCTCCCTTCAGTCTCCAACCCAAAGCACTCTGCTGCAGACCCCAGGGCTGGGGACGCGGGGGGCCCCCAGTACTCAGACTTTCCCACCACAAAATAAAGGTTCAGTTCCGAGCATTTGCACGCGTGCGTGTCATTGTTGGGGGTGGGCGGATTTGGGGACTTCCCGCCAGGGGCGGGGTGTCTTCCTTCTCGAAAGCTGCAAGCCCCAGGCCTGGAGGTGTCTGTTGTCGCTGGGAGCCATGAGCGGGCCCCGGGTTGCCAGCCTCACGCCTTTGGAGCTGCTGCTGCTGCCGCTGCTGCCGCTGCTGCCGCTGCTGCTCGGGACGCAGCCCCAGGGTGAGAGGCTTCGTGAGTGCCAGTTTGGGATCACAGTTTTAGGGCGGCGGGGAACAGGCGACAACAGGAGGTAGCAGGATGGGGAGGGGCCCGGGAATGGCTCTGCGCCATCCCAGCACGTGCCAGGCCCTGGGCTCCGGTCCCACACCCTCGCAGTACCGGAGAAAAGACGCATCCACAGTCTGGCATGTTTAGGCCCCGAGAACTTGATCATGGCCCTCCCGGCACTCTGCGCCCCCACAGGCAGCCCTGGTCCACTGCAGTGCTACAGCGTCGGACCCCTTGGGATCCTGAACTGCTCCTGGGAATCTCTGGCCAACCTGGAGACTCCACCTGTGCTGTATCACCAGAGTCAGAAGTAGTGAGTAACCTGGAGTGGTCTGGGGAAACTGAGGCACGGGGAGTGGCCACTCAGATTTCAACTGGATTTGGTTAAGAGGACCCCCGAATCCAGCTACTGGGAATTCCTTCCACACTTTCAAGACCCTCAACCTGGTCCCACTCATTTCCTTACTGCATAAACTCTGGATCAGTCATTTTCCCTCTTTAAGTGTGCTCCCCCCACCAAACGACAGTAATGACGACACGTGCCTCCCACGATTGATTCTGCCCATCAGCGAGGGAGGCACATGGCAAAGGAAAAATGCTTAGTACTAGGAAGCAGGTTTATATCGCAGACATCAGGCAGATCGCTTGGCTTTTTGGAGCAGTTTAGTTCACTCTGTGAACACACCAGTCTAAGATGGCATGGTGGCACACACCTTTAATCCCAGCACTTGGGAGATGGAGGCAGGAAGGTCAGGAGTTCAAAGCCAACCTCAGCTTCATAATCAGTGGCCCGCCTCAGCTACATGAAATCCTGTCTCCAAAAATTAATTAATTAATTAATTAATTAATTAAAAATTGGTCTAGTGTTTGGAATCACAACAATGAAAGCTGGTCCTGATGGGGTGCAGGGTGCAGATGTGTGCAGATGTGTGTCTGGAAACTCCATTTTAATTGGGCTAAGCAGAGGACAGTGAAAGGGCTTTGGGAGGAGGGATGGAGGAGGGCGTGTTTTCTGAGACAGGGTATCACTGGGTGAGGCTGCCCTCTGACAATACTCGTGCTTCCGTCTCCGGTGTGCTGGGATGACAGGTGTGACGGTCCCCTGGTCCCCTGCTGAGCTCTTTCACCGTGTGCACGTATTGCGCACATTGTAGAGAAGGAATGGAGAGGTTAAGTCATCATTTGCCTCAGGCCACACCACTTTGAAATAGAGCAGGGCTTCAAACACCAGCAGAGCAGATTGAGGGCAGGAAGTCGGTACAGGGATGCTCGGCCTGTGCCAACGTGTGTCTCTCCCCTGCATGTCTCCTCACAGCCATTCCAATAGAACCCAGGAGGTGAAGGTGCCTTCCAGGCAGAGCTGGGTGACCATTCCCCGGGAACAGTACACCATGGCCGACAAACTCCTCATCTGGGCGACCCAAGATGGCCAACCACTCTGGTCCCCTGTCTTTGTGAACTTGGAAACCCAAAGTAACACAGTGGGAGGGTGAGGCACAGGGGTGGGAGGGTGGCTGCAGGCCCTGGCTCAGTGCACTCTGGCCTCCTATTTGCAGTGAAGCCAGACATGCCCAGCTTCTCTGATGTGGAAATTTCTGAGGATGAACCCCTAGAGGCCACTGTGCTGTGGGAACCACCCCCATGGCCAACTCATAAGGTTCTCATCTGTCAATTCCAGTACAAAAGATGCCAGGAGAAAGAGTGGACCCAGGTGAGTGTACGGGGTGGCTGGGGCAGGCTTCCTTCCCATGCCGTCTCCAGTAGGTGAGATAGCACCCCAAGTCCCAGAGAGCACAGGTCCATTTGTCACCTGTTACAGAATCCCCCCAAACTCACACAGACAGCCTCGCAAGCAACTTTTTCATTTGTTTCTTGTTTTTGAGATAGAGTCTGTCTGTGTAGCCATGCAGCCAGCCAGGCTGGCCTGAAAGCTGCGATCCTTCAGCCTCAGCTTCCTGAGCTCTGGGGCAGCAGGCTTCATTGCTACCTCTAGCTACTGCCTGGGTATCTTTTCGTGAGTGTGGGGGCCAGTGAGACAAGCTTTCACTGTGTGGTCCTGGCTAGCCTGAAACTCACAGAGACTCACCTGCCTCTGCCCCCCCCCCCCCCCCCCCCGTGTCAGGATTGAAGGGTGTACCACCACACCTGGCCTGCATGACTGTCTTGATCAGTTAAAAATTTTGTCTCAGGCTGGAGAGATGGCTCAGTGGTTAAGAGGACTGGCTGCTCTTCCAGAGGTCCTGAGTTCAATTCCCAGCACCACATGTCAGCTCACAACCATCTGTAATGAGATCTGGTGCCCTCTTCTGACATGTAGATGTTGTTCGAATTTAAGATGGTCTTATAATAAAAAAAAAAAAAAAACAACCCAGGGCCAGATAATGAGGTAAAAGCTGAAAGATCAGAGAAGCAGAGCAAGCCACAGCCAACCTCACCTCGCCAACTCCTCAGTCGATCCTGTTTCCTCAGCCTGAAATCCTGAGTCCTCACCGGAAAGGATCTCAGCTGAACTGCTTTAGTTCCTGTTTCCTCACGCCTTATAAACCTTTCTCGGTCCAGCCAGGTCACTGGGATTAATGGCGGGTGTGCTTCCCAGTACTGGGATTAAAGGTGTGTGCCACCACTGCCTGGCTCTGTTTCCAGTGTGGCCTTGAACTCACAGAGATCCAGAAGAATCTCTGACTCCAGAGTGCTAGGATTAAGGGTGTGTGCCACCACTGTCTGGCCTCTATGTCTAATCTAGTGGCTGGCTATTTCCTCTGATCCCCAGGCAAGTTTATCAGTGTATACAACATATCACTACATGTAGGTATACATGCAGAACACCCATACATAACATATAAATATATAAAATTTAAAATAATTTTTTAAAAATTTTGTCTCAAAATAAACAAACCATAGACAATGGCTGGGAAGGTTGCTCAGTAGTCTAAGTGCTTGACACACAACATGAGGTCCTGAACATGGTCCCAGCACCCACACAAAAAAGACAGGCATGGTGGACTGTGTCACCTCAGCAGAGGCAGAGGCGGGTGGATCTCAGGACTTACTGACCATCCAGCCTAGCAAATGAGTCAGTGAGAGACCCTGCCTCAGAAACGAAGTGGAGGCTAGTGAGACAGACAACGGAGTGGGTGAAGTGAGGCGAGCTTTGTGACCTGAGTTTGCTTTCTGGGACCCACAAAAAGATGGCAGGAGAGAACTTACTCCATACTTGTCCACTGACTGCCTCCAGAATATACACTTGTATACATAATAATTAGAATTTAAAAATAATAAGATGTTGAGCTATGGGCTGGAGACATGGCTCAGCAGTTAAGAGCACTGGCGGCTGCTCTTCCAGAGGTCCAGAGTTCAATTCCCAGCAACTACATGATGACTCCTAGCCATCTGTAATGAGATCTGGTGCCCTCTTCTGGCCTGTAGTCATACATGCAGGCAGAACACTGTATATACAATAAATAAATAAATAAATCTTAAAAAAAAAAAGAACATGCATTTACTGTGTTTTTAAAAAATGATATTGAGCTACAGAGGAAGACATTTGACATCAACACCTGAACACACACACACTCTCTCTCTCTCTCTCTCTCTCTCTCTCTCTCTCTCTCTCTCTCTCTCTCTCTCTCTCTCTCTCCCAGGGCTTGCTGTAACTTCTCAGTGTTAGAGGGCTAGCCTGTGCCAGACCCAGGATCATAGCGTTGGAAAGAGGAAGTCTCCTCTGCACAGAGGGCTACCCCATCACTTTCCCCATTCTTTTCCCAGCTGGAGCCACAGCTGAAGACAGACCTACTGACTCCTGTTGAGATGCAGAACCTGGAACCTGGCACCAGCTACCAGGTGTCCGGCCGCTGCCGCGTGGAGAGCGGATATCCATGGGGCGAGTGGAGCCCGGACCTGTCCTTCCTGACGCCGTTCTTGGGTGAGGATGTCTCCATTTGTCTTGCACTCCTGGGCCTCGGCCCACCGTAGGCCAGGCAGCCGTGTCCATCTAACTCTCCCCGCTTTTCCTCGTCCTCATCAGCTCCTGAAGATCTGTGGGTATCGGGCACCGTCTGTGAAACATCTGGCAAAGGGGCAGCCTTGCTTCTCTGGAAGGTAAACTGCAAGTCCGAAGGTAGTTAGTTCCCTGCAGGGGTCTGGGAACGCCCAAGCAGCGGTGGCTTCCTCTGCTGCCCCCTGGAGGTTACTTCCTGGATTGCAGAGGTCTCTTGCTGTGCTGGGTGAGGCAGAAGTCTCCACCTAAACCGTGAGAGATCTGAGGTGTTGGGT